AACCAACTGCCGTGCGCCACTGCGCGAGGCACGCTGTTCGCAGCGCAGACGTGGGATAAACTGCGTCTGTCGTTCAGGTGTGCCGACCAGCTGGTCCAATCCGTCTGGGAATATATATATACGTATACACAGACACTCGCGTTTCAATCTCGCTTCCGATGAGATTGGTCTGTCCAGAGGGAACGGCGTGGTTGTCGTCTCCCACGCTTCCGTGTCATCAAGTTCTGCCGTATACATATACGTATATAGTAGTTTCGTTCAGCGCCGAAAAGTGAACGCTAAGCTTCGAGTGAAGAACAAAGGCAACGTCCTTCCAAATCGATCGAAAAGAGACATTCTGAGCTGACCACCTAAATTGTCTTCTGTTCGCGTCCAATGGAGGACACAGCGAAGGCAGCCGCAAAGCAAGTGACTCGCAAGCGGTCGCACTTCCCATACGCGTTGGCTTCGCGTCGAGAATATTTTCCCGCTAGAGAGAAGGTCGGGTGATGACGTGAAATAAACGAATGCCCATGAGTATGCTAGTGTGTCTTTCGTCCTGTCTGGTTTGTTTTATCTGGTTTAGCTTCACAAATTGACTCATGTGGTGAAAGACGTCCTAGTGGCGTCTGTAATTTCGACCACCTGGAGCTCCTTAGCGAGCACTGACGTCACAGTGTACGAGGAAATCTAGTTTTTCGCCTCGAACGAAATAGTTTTAAACTGGCGTCTTACGTCTCGCTTATCAAACGATATCACGCCTGAAATGAAATGCGATCGAACTCGTGTCTTACGGGTGAGCAGTCAAGTACCGTTTAACCGCTGAGCCACTGCGGCAGCTGCTCGGGCACTTCTGGGTGTCAGCCGTGCTCAATGTGCGTTGTTTGCCTTCTAAGTCTTACTACGCGCCCCGCGTTGCCATTTCTGGACTGTAATAGCACTATATCCGTCGACACATACGTTATCACAAGCCTGAAAAAAGAGAGATGAAATGAATATTCTATTCGATGCTCTGGTTAGGTGAACTTTATTGGCAACAACCTACGTCACTTTAATGTTAGCAAGTTACATGAAAAATGTGGCGTTAAGGCCCGCACTTCAATATTTTACCACTGCGTGCACTTATCGCAGACTAAGATTCGAAGTTACACGTTGTGTTCCTGTTCGCCACGGGTGGCATAATAACCTTGAAGGACAAAGATATCCTGTTTTTACTTCGAAGCACTGAAATATCTGCTTTGTGCGTGTGACTTGCGCGAACTATCGAGGATGAAATAGAAAACTGCATCTGTTTCACTTTCACTACCAATAAAGTAGCATTTTGCAACTTAAAGGACAGTTTCGTTTGTGCGCTCGATCGCAATAAAATGAACACACACCTGACATTCCCCCCGCCCCCTTTCTTGTTGAAATTTTTTGGGAAGCACATTAACAAACAGACAAAAAAGATAGAGTCACCAAGAAGGAGTACCTTATGTCACCCTATTTAAAAGCATGAACAGGCTACACGTTAGAGCACAACATAAAATGAAAGAACGGTGCGTCGGCGATGACGCCTGACTTGCTGCTGACGAGGAAACACAGAATAAAGAAGCTAGTGTGTGTATAATGTCGCACAGTCTTGTCAAGAAGAAAACAAAGAGTAGGAGAAGGGGTGGGTGGTGGAGTAGCGCTCCCAAAAGGCAAGATTCGTAGTGACAGTTTTTCATTATTTATATCCCCTAGCAAGCAGGTCCAAGTTCAAAGTTTCATACTGGAGAAGTGACGTGAACTCTCTATTGAGATCGCTTATGCGAGAGTGCACAACGGCCTATTAGTTGCAGCCAGACCATCGATACAGGCGTATGCGAGAAACAGACCCTGAAATGACTTTTCCCCTCCCGGCTTGCATGAAGCGAGGCAACTCCGGTCTGCTACACCGAATTCGCCTGGGTGTTGCATTCTGTCGCCGCTACAAACACCTCATCCACCGTGCGTACAGCCGGAACTGTGAACATTGCAGAGTGTGCGAAACGACGGCGCATCTATTTTGGGATTACTTGACGTGTCGCAAAGAAAAACTCTCGCTTCAACGTTGGCAGGAATAAGTGTGGCAGCGCTTAGTGAAGGTGGCATTTTATCAGCAGTGTGTGATCAGACAAGACCAACAACTGCTGTGATAGCTTTCCTGAAAAGTACAAAACTGGACACTAAATTCTAGCGAAGCCACAGTACTGCGTCGTTATTGTATATGCGCATAACTTGTTTTTCCCCACCGTCACACTTCATCCCTTATTTTTTCTTTCCCTTGACCTTCTTCCCCTGTGCAGAGTATCAGGCTAGAGCGAAGTAGCCCAGGCTGACTTCTCTGCCTTCTAATAGGTTATCTCTCTCTCAAAAGCTGAAGAAACACCAAGATGAAGACATAGAGCAAGCAGAAAACGACAAATGCGACCTCAAATATAGACCACTCACAAAAAGCAAAACTAAGTCCGCAAAGAAGGAGGGAGTGAGAAAACGTCAAGACAGCCTTCTTCGGCACTGCCAATTTTCATCTGCTAATAAAACGCTCCTGTTCTATCACATATGAACTAAGCAAACTGTCAAAGAGCCTGCAAGAAGCAGTGTTATTTATTAGAAAACATTCTAGTTTACACATAAATGGCACCTCCGACGAGTGCCGCTCACGTACATTCACCTCGTTGCCCGCGTCATAATCTGGCACGAAAAGTGACTTACGGCTCCTGCCCTGTTTAGTGGAATCAAGAAACTATACAAGCCCGAAAACTTCCTTGCATGTTTTTTCCCCCTTTGGCTTGGTCATTGACAGCAGGTTTTCTTTCATCGTGTTACCTGACCGGAAGAATGTTCGTCGAACGCTTTTCCACATGAGACCGTGCCACTCATCAGCAGAAATTCAAGTGAATCCGCTCCTGAGGTATCTACGAAAGCAAGCTAGTTATGAATACATTTATAAATATGCGTTGTTGAGCGAGCTCGTAAAATATGCTAAATGAAATCGAGCCCAAAACTTAACACGCACGAGGCACAGGTTTTCACGCATTACGCAGAAAGAGAAAAAAAAACATTTTCTTATCATTGGCAGACATGTGCGCATTGATCATTGAAGACAGGTCTCCAACAAATCATTCAAGGACACTATAATTACGTTTTCCGAATCGTGATAGAAATAGTGATCGTGCAAGTCATTGTTTTAGTTAATTAGGGGGCTCTAAGTAGTAAAGAAGTTGTGAAACACGAGAGCTGTAAGCTTGTAAGTACCCTTTATTAGACGGGGTGGCGATAAGTCTATTAGTGATACTTCTATTTTAAACTTCAATACGATAGATAAACTTTGAACGATTTGGTAGCGGCCCGTTTTTAGCATACGCATGTCTTACAATCTTGGAGAAGGTTTCGTCAAGGACGCAGTGTACTGCGATGAACTCACTTGTCAGTGAACACCTGTCTCTCTCATCCCTATCAAATTTTTGTGCTTAATTCCACCCCCAAAATTCATATACTGGACCAGCTTTTATTTCGTTGTTCGTTCGGTGAAATTTGTGATTAAAAAAGAATTCCGTTTGGGACTGTGCACTTGGCAGAGAGCTTCACTCTGTATACTGCAACCATCGTACACGCAACAATCACTTTGCCAATGCACATTTCTACGCATCTAAATCTGCACCATCAATATGGAGGGCCAGTTCACTGGCTATTACGATATTTTGAGTAAGCTTGCTCAGTGCGCAGTGGAATATGCGACAGATACAGTTACGTGGAGACAATCGAACAGTATTGCGTTTGCGTCCGTGCTTCAATGTCACAAGCAAGGTATTCGTTAAAGCGTGCTATCGGTAGGATTTCCGACGATATTACAATTCTTGATGTATGGCCTCTTCCTTCGCAGGTTCACAAAACAACACCGGTATCGCTGCTATTAATCGCTCGCATAAGACTGCTTCACCAATGTACTGTATAGCAAAATAACATCAGCGTATCAGTGGATACCGGGCCGTTTCGGCATCTATAGAAATATTGGTGCAAATGAGGCCACCTGATCAGCTCATGATCTCCATTTAGTAGCAAAAGCGTTATCTAAAAGGGACGTAGCTTACAAGGCTCCGTGCTCTTCCACGTGAACTGACACTCGCACAGTGAAACTCGGCGGAATTTACCGGTTCTTGTCTTCGCAACGTGGATCCGAATCTACAGCTCCGTCTTCCGCCGGTAATATCTAGGGCCGAGAAGACGCTTCTCTACCACCTGAGGCTTGAGGTGACATGCAATAATTTTAGCTTCGAGTAAACGATCGCACAGCCTCTGTGTGGATGTCCTCACTTCAGTGCGCAAAAATGAAATGTCTGGAGAGTGTGAGATGGACTTGACAATCGCCATTTGTCAAAGAAAAGGGTCTTGGGACGCTGGCCGAGACCGTCCTCAGCACGCAAGGCTTTGAGAGCGTTGTGGCGTTTCTTGTAAACAACTGGTCTTGGAGACAGACTTTAAACTGTTTGGTATATCGTTTTCTGCTCTCCCTTTTCCCCGCTTCTTCATTTTGCTCTTTTTTTTCTTTTTGTAAAATTTCTTTTCCATCATACTCTATTCTCTTTACCTCTTTCCCCAGCACACATCAGCCCGCCAGTGTGAGTGCTCGTTAACCTCGCTGTCCTTTCATCTATTTCTTCCTCCTCCTCCTGGTATCGCTACAAAGTGTTGGTAACCTTTTAGCAAGTGCCACGTATTTTTTATTCCATAAGTTAGCTATATAAGGTTAGTGCTATTAGGAAGAGAACCTTCATTTTCTTGATGTTGCGTATTTCATCGCCGTGTGTATCCACGTATTCAACGGCAATCTCTCGCGTCCGCAGACTGCGCGCCAGTTCGGCACTGGTGCGTGCGTGGCGGCAGAGAGGGGTTCGCATTGAACTTGCAAAGAGTGTCGGTGCATAATGAGCGCCCCGAGTGCCCATAAACGTCACGCGCTACGGGCCCCCCACGGCTGTCAGTGTGAGTAAGTGTTTCCTGACCTCGTCTCGCAGATCTTCGAGGGCAACACCAACACGTACACGGAGGTGCGGCGCACCCTGGACCCGCCCGTGATCGCCTCCAAGGTGCGCGTGGTGCCCTACAGCAGCATCCTGCGCACGGTCTGCATGCGCATCGAGCTCTACGGCTGCCCCTGGACGCGTGAGTATCATGCGGGCGGGCTGGGCGAGAGAGCCGGCGGCACCTTCCTTGAGAATATCATCCCGTATCCTTGAACGCTGTGTCAGTTAAAGAGACACAAATCAAAAGAAGGCAGCAACTTGATTTTTGTGCCCCGCCGCGGTGGTCTAGTGGCTAAGGTACTCGCCTGCTGACTCGCAGGTCACGGGTTTGAATCCCGGCTGCGGCGGCTGTATTTCCTACGGAGGCGGAAATGTTGTAGGCCCGTGTGCTCAGATTTGGGTGCGAGTTAAAGAACCCCATGTGGTGTATATTTCCGGAGCCCTTCAATACGGCGTCTCTCATAATCATACGGTGGTTTTGGGACGTTAAATCCCACAAATCAATTAATTAATCTTGATTTTGTGAGTATTGGAGAGCGACAGTATGTTACAAAAAAAAAACGCAGCATATCCACGGAGTGAATGGTGATGAATGGCTCGAAACGCTGGAGCGTTTCATCGCTGAACAGTGAACTATCTGCGAATATTTCCCACTACATCATCAAACACACACGTGACAAACAATGTATATATTACTACAAGAAATTTTAATATTAGTCACTTCCGCTCCCCCTTCATCATAACGGCTTTTTGGTCGGTGAAATGGTGGATCAGTGGTGCGGCATAGCGGGCAGTCTGCAAGGGTGAAGTAGTGGGCAGTTTGCGAAGCTGGAACTACAGGCGGTTACGTACATACATACGACGGATGGACAGAAGCACGCCTTTAGGAGCTTCGTCCCTAATAAACTTTTGGCGTTACCAGTGGTTATTTCGAAGGTCAACAAGTTGACGCTTGCAGATTTTTTTCTGTTTATCCACCCACGCAAGTGCGATGCATGAAACTATCAATTCGACCACCTATTCAAAGTGAACTGAGACATAAGACCGGCATTTGGAGTTTGCCAGTACATCTGTCACGTAGTATTTTTGCCAACACCTGCCTTGCTTATACGAGAACTAAGAAAAGGGCCAGTATCTGCCGCCAAGTGAAAGTCGCGATCACGCAATCTCGTTTGGGCACTCGTCTGACCTCTTCAATTACCCCTAGTACCGTCACCAACACCTCGAAGTTTTCACTGCAGTTGTAATGACAGCTGTAAGCTTTCTCGAGAAAAAGGGAAGAATCTCGGTTTAGGAACCTAGTATACTCGAAGCTTGCGTCTACTTCATCTATTATGCTCGCACAATATCGCAGGAAGTGCAAATGCACATATACCGAACATGCGCTCTTGCTGTAGCTTGCCTAGCTCTGGCCTGCACAGCAGGATTAGCGCACTGTCAGCTTCACCCCCGCATGTCAACTCCTACATATTTTTTTCGACCCTGGATGTCGTCGTCGTTGCTAATCCGAGGGATTGTTCAAATTACGTTCCCCATGCATTTGGTACCCGGTCTCACTTTGTTTTTAGATTTTTGTGTCCCGCCCAGAAAGAGAACCAAATTAATTTGGAAACGCGTCGTATTAATGCGAGGGCCCAATGTAGATGGGGAGTATCGTAGGCCGTTTATTAGATGCCCTGTTATTGAGCACGTCGCGTGTACTTTTAGTCAACGGGTGCACCCTTTTTTGTTTCTTTGCATTGACATGCCTTCGCTGTGGTTCAACGTAACCTTTATCTTACGTTTATTACCGTCAAAGTTGCTAACTCGGGCTTTCTGTTCACATTTATCTCTTGCCGCGCATTAATTCGCCTTTGGAACACAGAACTCTAAATTTTGCTGTAACTGTATTTGGTATTTCCTTTTTTTTTCATTTCGAATTATGTTGTTCTGAACTGGCATAAAATTTTTAGGTTGCTATATTTCGGTGATATCGTTTAAATAGTCGCCCTTATTCTGATAACCGCTGTGTAAAAGTAAACACTAAACAACTCGTCTATTTTCAGGACACTACGTATTTCAGCGCGACGAAAACTATGGCCCCAACGGGATTCGCATGGAGGCAAAACGAGCATTCGGCTTCTTTTTCTGATGTCCTCTCGAAAGCAAGTAGTCTTGCCCAAGTTACTATTAAAGAAATAAATTCACATATGTAAGTTATTTCCAAACAGCGTGCTTACTGTGCATATTCCCATTCCGTTCTAGAGCTATTTTATTTCATTAATTGTTTTCAAACAAAACAGAAAAACGAACTGCCACATGAATGGTAGCAGAACTTAGTGAATGTGTAAATGTTTGCAGGGTGCTCTAATGACTGTGTTCCCAGCGTATACGCTAGCTAAAGATAGGCCAGCGTTAATATAGCCCTGTCTGGCTGTAACTTTTCAGCAATAAAAGAAATCAGGAGAGGAATATAAGCAGCTAGGTCGAGGCCAAAATTATATAAACCAGGTTGACCGAGGTTCTGGACTATTAAACTCTGCAGGTCTTCTGCTACTTGAGCGACCACAGCCTCGCATCAACAGGGTGGCTTCGTATAATTTGCTCGACTCGGGGTTTCAAGCATAACGTGTTCATTAATGCAACCTACCGTGAGAAAGAAGTGAAGTAACGTAGAGAACGAGTGCTACGCCATCCACGCATGCCGCTTCGAGTATAGGTATACAAGCCGGCAAAAGTCATCGATTCGTGAAGGCCTTGACGAGGGACCTTCCACACACGGCGAGGTTTTTGTTTTGCTTTCGTTCATGCAGGCATGCCTCGCGTACTACGCACGAGTGTGAACTCTCGCTCTGTACGCTTCCCGACCACGGTAGAACGGTGCGAAGCGTAATAAATCTGTGAGCTCGGGCGCGAGGCACACGTAACAAAAAAAAAAAGCAAAAGCTCGCTCAGCGAGAGCGGTGGGCTCATTTTGGCGACGACGTTAGGCCTATGAGCGTGCGATAGAGATGCATGGCGTAATGACTCGATAAGAATGTTACGGCGTCCGGCAATTAAGTCGCGCCTGAGCGGGGAACGCCCCGAAAAAGGCGCTTTGATTAGCGGCGACCTCCCCGGGGCACAGCGAAGGAAAGGCCCCGCGTCTGGTGCATATGCGCCCCCGTTTTACGCTACAAGCTTCCGCTCACTTGCGCCTCTGTTGCAGTATACTGCAGCTCGCGGCACGTGTTAAGCGGGATCGAGCGCTGGGCTTCGTTTCTGGCGTGGCGCTTATGCACCGTGAATTTCTTCCAGGCTGAGGCGCGCGACCTTACATAAGGCATGGAGGAATCCAAAGTGAACCTCAGTGGCTTTTCTTCCGGCATTAGTGACTAAGAACAGCATACTCTGCTGATGGCTTGATTGATACGTGAATACAAAACAAAAGACCAATGAAACAGCCAACGGCTCAATATTTTGCAGGCAGCAACTATTGCTTCTTGCCACTCTGTTTTGCTGCCAGGTACACGCCTCTAATTGATTGATACGTGAATACAAAACAAAAGACCAATGAAACAGCCAACGGCTCAATATTTTGCAGGCAGCAACTGTTGCTTCTTGCCACTTTGTTTTGTTGCCAGGTACACGCCTCTAATTTCTGTCGTTTAGCATCGACCGTCTTGCTTGCATGTGTGCTAATATATAGAATACGCCCTAGGTTCTGGACATTCTCTTTGTAGACGGTTTCTTAGCCAAAAACGTTTGTGCGTGTTTCTCCTTCTTAGAGCATAATGTCCCACTACGATTTATTTGTTCGTAAGTAAGTGTAGAATGGTTCTCTTGAACAGGTTCATCTACGCACCGTGACTGAGTTCGGTCAACGTTAAATCGCACTGACGATTGGGCTAGTTGGTACGGGTGTATGGATTTAGAACAGTGTGACAAAGCAGACGAAAAGTCTATTCATCACAGCAACACGCGCACTTGGGTTCGTGTGACTTGGTCTGCTTTGTCGCGCCATGTAGTATAAATCCATGTTATGTTAACCCGCTAAACTAAGCCCCGGCAAAATCACCGATCTTTCTAGATATAATTGAATGGAATGCTAAGGCAAAAGCGTTCTTACGTTGCCTCAAACTTTAATAAATGTCGGCTGTTGCAGCTGCAGTTGAAGTGGCCTTAGATGCTTGGCGTATATGAATAATGCCCATGTCTTTCCGTGAACTTATGAAGCCACATAATCTAGCAACCCAGTACCCATAATTATTGCTGTTGTGCTAATATAGTGTAATGGACCGAAGGAAAGTTAGTTCATCAAATATTTGTTATCGTCAACTGGCATAAAATACTTCCTGTGCTAAAAATTAAATGGAGAAATGGATCAATAAAAGCAATCTGGGCTGTTTCATTTCCTTCTCGACAGCTGTCACGCAGTTCTCACGACACTCCATTCCAGCAGGTGTCACTTTGCGGCGGCAGTGCATTCTTTCTCTTTTCCAATTCGGTATACGATCCTGCGCGGTTCACTGTGGCTGTTCACCCAGCATTTCGCGGCTGCGGCGCGTATCGTTCTTCCAACATCCTTCTCGGCAGTGGAGAAATTGAGGGCTGTCGCCGCGAGCGCTGTCCTCGAATCAACAAAGCTCGCGCGACGCCGTCGCTCTCACGGCAGCGGCCAGGAAAGCGTGCGCCCGCAGCCGAGATCTGTCGCGGAGGCAGCAGTCACCGCTTTCTGCCGTCGGCTGCTTCCGGGGTTTGTGTTTGCCCACGTGAGGCTCGTCGTATAGGTCCCCGCGCTTCGTGAGAATCTCGGCTGCCGCGGGTCCCAGCCTTGATGAACCGCGGCGCGCACGCTTGAAATAGTTGGCGCCCGCTCACTCGGCGAAGGACCCTGTGGCAGCGTAAACAAGAAAGCTCTCAACCCCTTGGGCAACGGTGGGCTGCTGCCGCCACCAGGAGCCACTTCCGCCGCTCAGCGACGTCTGAGACCGCTTTTACGCCAAGCCCTTGTTGCTGCCGGTGGTTGGCGATATACAGTGCGGGGTGACAGACGGCCCCGAAGAAGTGGCGGCGTTTACTTCGATCGACAATAAAAACGCCTTCGCCGCAGGGGTTCGACGACCGATGAAAGATAAGCTGGCCTGGCTCGAATCCCTCCGACCGACTGATATGCTGGCACGCAATTCTGGCATCGACAAGTGTATCGTGCGGACCCGTCGGACGTGAAGGGCACGACTGTAGCGTCGTGCAAGAATAACACGATGTGTCATATATGAGTCCGCGTGCATGCGTCGTGCTTCTTTTTCACTCCCGGTACCTTGAGCTCCTGCGCGAGTGCCTGTCGCTTACTTTAGTAATACGACCAGCTTCAGACCATGTAGTGTCTCTCTATAGAGTGCTAAGTTCCGTGTCCTTGTTTCCCATTCTACACGAAATAATGTAAGGCTGAAGCTTCGTTTCTTCGTGTCTGAAGAAACGAAGCCAGTAGTATGATTGCCACCGGCTGTGTACTGGTTGCATTCATCGGTGCTCTTAGAACTCACGATGTCGTGTAAAATTTAGAGGCACATACGAGAGTTAGCAATACTCACTAGTAACTGCAGGTGCGAAAGCAAATTTATAACCTATCTCCAGTCCAGTTTCAGTCTAGTGCTCGGTGATGTTGTTTATTTTTTACAGTCGCAGCAGTTTACGAGATAACATATACAAGGATGCAACAACGCATGTATTTATTCAATTTCAAATAGTTCGGCTGACAAATAAATTTTATAAAAAAATATAGTGCGTGATGCTTTGCGCTTCTGAGACGGTATGAGCATTCTAACTTAACATTCTGGGTCGTTTTACCAAGTGTATCAAGTGAAGCGTTGGAACTGTTGTAGTCTCTGCCGGTCGTGCAAGAGTGCGGATCGATAACGTAGTAGATTAAAGCAGATTTCGCCAGGCCGGCGAGTTCTGAGGCCGCGCTTATTGAAGTTCACTGAGCCTGGCTTCCTGGTGTTTGCAGAGGGAATCCTGTCCTACTCAATACCCCAAGGTGAGCGCCGCGGAACGGACGTCGACCTGTCCGACGCAACTTACGACGGTATCAAGGACGACAGCTACTTGCACGGCGGCCTCGGACAGCTCACCGACGGCGTCGCAGGCAGCGAAAACTTCAAGCTCGACGTATCGGGATATGGAAAAGGTACATCAAATTGACTACAATGAGTGAAAAGAAAAATAACCGGTATTTCGAATTTGTAGCAAAATCAACTCCAGGGCACGGGAAATTCTGGTCTGACTTAACAGAGTGGTTGCATTTTCTGTGCGCCGGAAAGCTATGAATTTTGATATCACTTTTGAAACTCGATTATTAATATATCAAAGAATGTGCAGCTTTTGTAATTTCTGAAAAAAAATGGGTGGGTACTAAATTGTCATGCCTTACAACTTTATAATATAGACAAATGTCATCGAGGCAGCAATTGAAAGTAGTTAACGAGCTTGGTTATTTAGTCACTTCAGTGACATTTTTGCTGTGGTGAAGTATTTCGGCCTCTGCATTGAGTTCATATGCTGAAATGATATGAGCCTTACTGTCAGAGGATTATTATTGTAAATGTGCATTTTCGAAAAACAAAGAAACACGTTGTATACAGCATGACAATTAGGCTAAATCGTGTGCATAGTGCACTCCTGAAGAGCGTTTTGTTAAGAAAGTTTCTGATTGGCTGAACAGCATTCTTGGTTCCCGTGTGGCTGTCAACTAGGTTCAATAACTCGAGAAAGTTGCACATTGTTTTCACTGCAGCTCGTGTTTGAGGCAGAAGAGGTAATTCCGTAGCGTCACGAACCAGTGTAAAGTGGGTTGCCTTGACTGTCTTTACCGCTATCTCCTCGTTATACGGCATTCAGAAGGAAACTGTCTGGACAGGTCTGGGTGATCATTATCCCTACCTCGTTTATTGTACTTGAACATTTCAGCAAAAGAGTCTTGCTCTTGTTGTTTAGAGTGATCGAATAAGAAACAAAGAAAGCAAATGCGGCAAAGGCGCGAAGACAATGAGTATAGCCCCTTCTTAGATAGACTGGCTACTCTGCGCAGGGAAAAAGGGAAATGAAAGAGAATAGAAGAGACGCTATACAAAGAAGTGAGGGAAACATAATAAAAAGAAAACCAAATGAATAAAAAAGAGCAAGCAAATTACATCACTGTTTAAAGTTTGTATCTAAGCCAGCTGTTGTCCTTAAAAAGCGTCACAACAATTTTAACGCCTCGTGTTCCAAGTGCGGACTCGGCCAATGTCCCAGGACCCATCCGGCCAAGGAGTGATTATCAAGTCTGTCTCATCGAAAAATCTGTTGTTATATATGTACTGTCTACAAGCGTCTTGGTTCTCTTGCTAACAAATAGGGAAACGCATTGGACCCTGTTTTTGTTCATATATGAAACGTGACTACCTCGGAACCAGAGTGGTGTTCCAATTGTCATTACTTCCGTGCCCTTTACTCACTGTAACTTTGAAAGATTACACGAGTCGGGGTGCTTGTGACTTTTATTGTTACTTTCACTTTACTTTGGGGAGAATGAACAAAAAGTCACAGTTCAGCCGCAAGGGCGAAGGAATGAATGCTGTAGCAACAACTTGGAATGCAACGCTGTGAACGGCAGGTAGATCGAAACGTGCAGTGCGCTGCTCAAGCACAAATGACGCACGAGAACAACACACACAGGACGAGAGCGTACTAACAACGTTTACCGCTCGACACGTAACGTGCTGTTTAAACAAAGACGACGCACACAACATGATCACAGGTACAGATGAGTGCAAAATAACAAGTGTCCCAGTTGTTATATCTCGCGGTGTATGAAAAGCGTGCTTTTTTTTCGTAAACGGGGCATGTGCAGGGACCAAAGTGACATTTTTGGGTCCAGCAACTCACCAAATCATTCCGGTGAAAACCGAAGGCGCATAATTCTCCCAACCAAAGCATAAGTGTAAGCGCACAAAATCCCCCCCCCCCCCCCCCCCCCCAAGTTGCGGGGCGAAGTACGCGTGGAATGTAAGCGCTCGTCGACGCATAGCGATGAACTGGGCGCCGAGCGTGGGCAGCTTTTATTTTTTCTTTCTTGAGTGTTCATTTATGTAGATACGTATATATATACGGTGAACGACGACGGCGGTGGCGGCGACGGCAAAAAACCAGCCGAGACTGTTCATATAATTGCTATCGCAATAAAATTTGCTGTCATGCATTTCGCGTCGCAGGGTACGAGTGGGTCGGCTGGCGCAACGACTCGCTCCACTCCCAGCCACTCGAGCTGGTCTTCGAGTTCGACGCGGTGCGGAACTTCTCCGCCGTGTTCCTGCACTGCAACAACATGCACACCCGTGACGTGCAGCCGTTTCGCGCGGCGCGCATCTCCTTCAGCGTGGGGGGAAAGCACTACCTGGGTGAACCGCAGCACTTCAACCTGATGCCGGGTCTGTTCAACGAGAAGACGCGCAACGTCACCATCCGGCTGCACAACCACGTGGGTCGCTTCGTCAAGCTGCAGCTCGAGTTCGCCGCCAAGTGGCTGCTTCTCAGCGAAGTCTCCTTCACATCCGGTAAGCGATCCGGCCTCCGGAATCTGGTAGTAGTGAACGTAAGCACAATCACACAGCTTCTACTCTTTTTTTTTCGAGGCTGCAATGGGGCGTGTGCGCCGAATGCGATAGCTTTGCGGTGCATAGCACGGTGTTTTGACGGCCCAACTGGTTGATGGGTAATAAGTTTCCAGCTGTGTTTCATATCATAATATCCTGTTTTCTGCCACCGTACTGCGGCAGGCGCGTCCTAAACATTCGAGAACGAGCGAAGCATGTGTTGCACGCATTGTGCAAAGTCTCTTACAGTAACTATTTCTTTGCGCTAGCTCTCGATGGTTCAATTGCATCAGATGCAGCGGCTCTATTGCAATAATGCTTAGCCGTGGCGAGCCACCGATCTAGGGTTTGTCGCTTTCATACGTGCTCCCTCAAATAGGCTCTAGTATTTCGCTAAATATAGTTTTCCCGTACTAACCTTCACTCGGCCGTTCCGCGCTTCCAAGTTAGTGAATGTTCACGAACAGGTGCAATAGACATAAAAACGAAAACCGCATTGTGTTGCAAGGACGAGTCAGTGACAGATCCAGTCAGCTCTGCTATGTAAAATCTGTCACAAATACTCCTACTGCTGCTACTACTACTACCACCACCACCAGCACCACCACTACTACTACTAGTAATAATAATTTTATAATTTTGCATGGACTGTCGTAGGTATTGATATGCGCACTGACTAAAGTGCACCCCATTTTTTTCATTCCAAAAACATTTCTAACATGCCACGTGTGCTTCGTACATCGTATACATGCAGGTGCTTGCTTGCATGAAAAAAACAAAAAACAATCGTGTTAAAGACGTGCACTAACGGCGCATAGAGTGCGCTGTTCCTCTTGTTCTGTGTGGTTCTTAGGTGAGCATCATCTGGCTGCACAATGTACATTGTAGTATTACCCATGCTAAACAACAAAAGCTTTCCTATTACTTGTAAAGTGCTATCAGATGTCACTTCCAATATTCCAAAAAAAAAAAAGGAGTGCCCACATACGACTGCGGCTTTGATTCTTGGTGGCGTCACCATGCAGTTCTAAACCGGGTGTGCTATTGCTGATGATGAAATAGGCTGGCTAACCAGAGGAACAAACTCAAAGTCTTGGAGTTGAAACACAGATCCTTTTGCTGATGTGGCTGTATTCATTAGCGGCATAAGCGTTCTAAGTTTAATTCAACAATGGATTGCTATTGCCGATGATTTTTTTCTTTTTTAAATAACGGCATTCGTATCATCCCGGCTTCCCTATCTAAAAACTGTTGAGGTTCAACGTACCAAAACCACGATTAGATTATCAGAGATGCCGTAGTGGAAAATTTCGAAAATTTTCGCGTCCTGTTGTACGTACACCTAAACCTAAGTACACGGACTTCAAGAATTTTTGCCTCCATCGAAAATGCGGCCGCCCCAGCCGGGATTCGTTTGCGCTATCTGCGGGTTAAAAACCGAGTACCTTAGCCACTAGACAACGGTGGTGGGTTGACCGGGTATATACGTGAATACAAAGCCCACAAGAAAAACGTAACATAATCGTTTACGTTTGCACAGCAAAGTTGTTTGTGATCGAGCCTTTTATGTCCGAGATCTGTGATAACGCTTGTGGGCATCATAAAGGGGTATGCAACACTGGCATTGGGTGAACCCTGCTATACTCACCACCGGCCCTCAACGCATGAAGGCAACAGTTAACCCAACCAATGGGTATCTGGCCTAGAAATGTGTACGCCCTATAAGAAAACTATTACCATCATAAACACGTATGTGGCACAGAAGTTAGGTGAATCCTATTGCACACAACTTTCACAAAAACGGAAGAAGGCGACAGCTAGCCCAACAAATGGCATACGCTTTGCCATTGTCACGCCGCTTTCATGTGATACTTGTGGTTAGAAAAGGTGGTGGCTCTACAACTACATCAAAGCTTAACAAAGAGTGTTTAATAAAGAGCAGTGAAGTAACACATCGGAGCTAGCACCTCAAACAAAGGCTTCTTTGTAAAGCTGCAAGTATAAGAGCGCCAAGGTACAATAAATCTATCCTGCATTCTCAAAACTTAACAAAAAGTGTTTAATAAAGAGCAGCGATTTAACATATTTGACAGACTTTTAGAACGTAGAAACGCGTTAGCCTCACGAAATGAACGTCCCCGGATTCACTGTTTCATCGGTGTCTGCGAAGCGGAGCTGGTTGAATTTTTTTCAGAACACCACTTGACAGAGCTCGAATTCCAACAAAAAAAGTATAGTGTTGTTCACTTTTTGTTATATTTTATGTAAATTGGTTGAGTCCTTTGAGGCAACAGTTTTCTGAAACTCCACGCGAGTTCAATGAAACCAGAGCCTGCCTAAAAAAGCCTGCCTTAAATCTGAACAGCAAACACTAGGTATTTTAAGTATTAAAAATAATAGCGAACAGTCTGTACGACACTGGCGATCATTAAGGAGCTCTGTACACTAAATTCTGCATTTGTATTACAAATTTATAGGGCAGACTTTTTTACTCCTATTTTTCTTGGCGTCATATTTCAAAAATAAGACAGCCTGCCAGACTTTGTAGTGACTCGTAAGGATGTTTCGTTTTCATTTTCATTTTAAATTGAGCAGTGCGATGCAAAACTTTTTGTGTTAGCATCACGTAATGCTTACACACTAAAATGAGCATCCATGCATGTGTCTTGCATGTTGTTACGCTTTAAGGCTCAACTCTTCCCTATCGATTTGGAAAAAAAAAGTTTACTCCGAAAGCCAGATTGGTACCCCTCCCCCCCCCCCCCCTTTTTTAACTTTACACCCCGCGCACGCCATTTGGTGCAAGCGGAAGAGTTTAATCGAAGTTTTTCTCGGCGATTCCTCTTCACTCGCCGTGCCATCAACTCTAGCTCAAGCCCAGCGATTCGCAAAAAGCTGCTGTCGATCTGCAAAGAACCGCGAGGGCGCCATGAGTAATCGAGCGTTGCGACGGCATCTGTGGCGCCCTCGGCGTAAACCTTGCACAAGAATTTCGACGCATCCACATGTCATGTTGTGGCGTTTCTTTTTGTTTTTTTATTGCATTTTGTTCGTCGCTTCGTGTTCTTTCCGCACCGGTTTTTAGCAGCGCGTGCAACTCCGAGCAGAGAAAAATATTACAAAAAAAAACTGCAGTTGCATATGCACCCTTCTTTTACTCTTTTGTTTTTACGCCGACATGATCCTTATATCGCTTCCTGTTTGTTTTATCTGTTTTTTTTCCGGAATCATGACGCTCTATGCGGCCCCTTCTTTTTACGTGTACGTGAGTTTCTTTAACCTTTATTAAGCAGTGTGATATGCGAAATCTGATGGAGTCTCGTCGACGTCGCAGTGCCCGCCGTGGGCAACTTCAGCGAGGAGGAGGCCCCCGCGGCACCCCCGATCGTGAGCACAGCCATGAGTGAGGATCCCATGTCCAAGCAGTACGTGGGACTGGTCATCGGCGTGCTGGCCGCTGTCATCCTGCTGCTCGTGCTCGTCATATTCGTCATTGTCGCACGCAACCGACGTCGAAAGCATAGCACGCCACACGCCATCCTAAAGCCTCTCGACAGCCGCGTCACCATAAATATGAAGGTAAGTGATGCTGCGGAAACCTATAGAATTGCGCGAAGGGTCAGCTCTTCCTTAGCCTGCGTTATGTGCGTTGTTTCTAGTGTGTGTCTGATGCTCTTTCTTCACACGACAACGTCACGACACCACCAGTGCCTATGTGTTTCACCTGTCCATTGCATGGATGCTACTTGGGTTGATGAAAATGCGTAAAAAGAAGATTGATCTGGCTGACTAAATTGTGCTAAAAATGGAAAGGAACCAAGAAAAATGTAGGCACGGTAGGTGCTGTATCTGAAGCGCTACTCCACTGAAGCACGATAAGCGAAGGAGCACTGTGACGTGCGAGTAGTACTCGAATACTCACATTTTAACCAAGCTGGTTCACAGTGTAGGTTCAAGAAGTGACGCAGTGGTGCTCGTGACACACTGGGACGGGCAGTAACAGTGCTCTAAATATTTTCAAGCCAAATGCAACTTCTTGCACATGCCAGGCAGTTTGCGGAGATCTCTGTAATTGTGTTAGTACTGGCGTTTCGCTTTGATGCACTAGTTTTCGGTGGCGTAGCTACGCGTGCTATGTTCTCCTTTTTTGTTGTAGCTCTATATGTTACCTTTTATGTATCACCCACCCCTGCCTAAGCCTTCATGTGTGAGGTTGCCAGTATTTCTGAAATAAATAAATGTGAATCGCGTGTGATATGAATGGTCATTGCGTGACTTGTAGCTAGTCAATAACTCTACCTCAGATGCCAAATCAGATTTCGCGTGCTTTAGTATACCAGATGTTATCACTTTGCGAGCAGAATTTTACTGCGATAGTGATTATATGAACACTATCGGCTAGATTTTGCCGCTTACGTCACCATCACTCATCTTATATGTATACGTATCTATCTATATGAAAACTCAAGAAAGAAAAATAATTTAGAAAAAGGCTCCGGTGCTTTGAATTGAACGTGGAGCCTCTGAATTGTGAGTGCGAGGCGTTAGCGTTGAGCCCCGAAGGAGCACATCCTTCAATGCTCAAACAGCTAGCTATTCACATCAACCACTTACCGCTGGCAATGGGCATCTCGGGGGGAAATAGCGTGTTTTTAGCATTACCAGCAAGATGACGCAATGAGCGCGCGTCCCGACTTCGTCACGACGAGGTGGCGCGCGCTTCTTCCATGCGTATTTGCCCCGCGGAGAGGGGGCAGGTTGGACGCTCACGCGTGCGCTAGCTTATCTCGTGTTCGAGAAAATTGTACGGCTTGACTGGCCTTGGGCTTTTACTGGACGATTCTGTCGTAATTAGCGGGTGCACAAAGGTCACTGCGATCGTTGTACAGTCTCTGTTTGCGAAAAGGGCGCGCTTTTCAGACACAGCGAAGAAGCAAATGAGACACTTATCCATGTTCATCTGTACCTTTGAGTACGTTTCGTGCATCATTTTTGCGTGAGAAACGCGGGGCACGTTCTGATCTGCTTGCCATTCTGCGCGTGACCTTTCAATTTGTTGCTATCGTGTTCATTGCTTCGCCTTTGCGGCAAAGCTGTGACTTTTTTTTTTTGAAACTGCCTTCGCCAGATTGCACAACTGTTAGCGGGATTACTCAGAAGAGGCGAACATTTCTTGCGTTACAATATGAAGATCCCTTTTTTATCAGAGAAGAAAATTTTGCTAATTATACTGAGCCACTGTTGGAAGTTACGAATTGTAGCCGGCGAGTTCTCACGACATAACTTCTTAGAATGGATTCTCCGAATGACGCCAGTTTAGAAGTAGCCATCACTAAGGTACGTGACGAAATACGTGGACGCTCAAGTTACTTTTGTTCTTCTAGGAGTGAAACAGCTTTTTTAGGAAATAAATAACAGACCACAGCGCATTTGTCACGAAAGTTAGGCGACACATATTTCCAAGTCAGTCCAATCTTCAGAATTCGTTCCAAGCGTACACGGCTTGTGAACTGAGCTGTCACAACCCACACAAAATATGCGTCACAAAATGTATAGTACGCAAAGTTTCTGAGCTGAATAATTCATTAAATTATACTTGTTGATTTTTCCTGAAAAAAAGTATTTACAGCTGCTCAAATTGTTGAAACTTCAATTTTAAATTTCTTTATTTTAGGCTTACATACACAATTCACAGTGTAAAATATCTTCACGAGGTGAGGAAAAAGGAGATTCTGTCTCCTGACGAGGCCTTTGCCCCAAACTTACATGTAATCTCAGTTTAAAAAAAAACAGAATTGTGCCATCTCCCATTCCGTATGGTTGTTTTTCAAAACTCGCTAGAGTATTTAAAAGAGGCATCTTATACGTGCTTAATTTACATAATTCACAAATGTCTTTGATGTACGCAGTTTCTAACAAATTTTAAAGCCTTCCGATCATGTGGACTTATATCATTGTGGGTGACTGAGAAAGAAAGTTGTGTAATAAACGAAGCCATGTTTATAGCCCTATACATGTAATAAAAAAAACTTTCTCTATAGGTTTTGTCACATACCCTCGCATAGTCATCCTATATCGAATGCTATTAAATGACCAAATTGTGCTGCGAACAAACGTTGCATTTTCCTCTGGCACCTGACATGAACGCATGGTCCGGCTGTCTTTTGCAGGATCTTGCGTTAGCCTATTCCCCCCAGTACGTGGCACGGGAAGCTAATGGGAATCTTTATGGCCAGGTCGCCCTTGAGGATCCAGACCCTGACAAGCTCCTGTACCACGAACCCCAAGATTTTAAGCCCATCTACCCAGGGACCTACAGTAACGGTGAGAACTTTGATATCATCCTCAGGTGCGTGGCTTTCGAGTTATAAAGATGAATAATAAAGATGAATATATAAAATGACGCGTGTGCAATTGTATTCCCTGAGTATTTATATTCCTCTTCGGTAATGCATAATCGCTGTTGTTCAGTACAGTTTTTCTCATTAAGGTAAGACACACCTAAGAGAAAGAAGAGAGATTATGATATTCAATATTATATGCTCTGAAAGACACTTTGTTAGCTTGACAAGCAAATGTGTTGTCTTCTACAGACAACACATTAAAGGGTTGATGGTGGTAGGTTTTTTTTTCAATTTCAACATTCTTGATTTTTTTATAGGCCAATACTCTAAAACTCTAAATGTTTATGAGACTGCTGAATAATATAACTATATTTTTTCTGGGCATGCGATGAGGAAACGTCAGCTGATGTTGCCGCTAGTCGTCTTGTTCTGCTCTGAGTCCAGGATTAACTTTCGTGATAGTTTATTCATTTCAGACTGAGGAAAAAGACTAGATGTTCTTAATTGTCGCTTCTGAAAAACTGTTCAGATATCAGTTTTGCATGCCACCCATTGTCGCAGACGTGAGCCTCGCCAAAGATGACCAGGCCTTTCCAATTAGAACAGCGTGTTTTTCAGATTTACTCATAATCGGACCACCTTTACATTAACCAAGAAAAAATCCCAACTGCAGCTGTTTTAACGTTCTTTATTTCCCTTCAGATTCGACAACGTCCCGCGAGTACGCGGTGCCTGACATGAACAAGAGCCCCGTGCTGGGAGGCTCGCACAAGTCGTCGCCATTTCCCCAAACGAAGCCACCACCGCCCCCGCCAGCCGCTGAACAGTATTACGCCGCTACCGACGTCGTCGTTAGTCTGCCCAACATACAGGTAACCGAAATTTTTTACCCTTAAAAATTTTGTAGGCTATTTGGAAGTTAGAAACAACCATTTTGGCAGTGATACTGTTTATCTTTATGCAAGGTTTTTCCAAAATGAAGAAGGGATGCATTGTGGACGGCTCACAGCCATATGTTGACAAAATTATGTAGACAATTATATGTAGACAATTATATGTAGACAATTATATGTAGACAAAATTATGTAGGCAATACAATGTAGAGAAAAAGTGTAGACGGCACTGCTGAAGGAGCGCACTTACGCGGGGACAATTGCTTTGGCTTTGTGGGATGACGATGCTGTTGTATGGCGTGGAGCACTGTGAGAAACTGGAGAAGATGAGGCGCCGAGATGGCGCAACGTGCCCAAGCCGGAGAAAAAACAGCTACAAAAACTGGTAAAGTGTCGACAGCAGCAACCCGAATACAGACTGGGAAAGAGGGACTCTGAAAAAGCCTGCAATATGCCGAAACAGCATGAATCACAGAAAAAGCGGTACTGTCTGCAGTCGCTCCCACTGGAGAAATGAGCATAGGCTGCGTACAGCAGAAATGCGAATTCTTTTGGGGATTGAACCAGCCATGCCCAAATGAATATGGTGGCCTTCCGATTTTTTTTTTTTTTGCTTCCATGCAATTCGAAGTAAGCTGTGCGCACTTACTTACCTATTTTTTCTTTTATAGGGGGGGGGAGGGGACTTCAACAAAGCTTCCGTTTTCTTGGGAGATTGCGTATATCTGTTTGTTTGATCCCACCTGTGGTGCAAAAGAATGAGCTTTGCCCCAGGGCACAACTCTGTAGCTTTGCCACATGTAGCTTGTTTATGTGGAGATGCACGCTTTACAAACTAGTTTCAGAATGGCTGGATGAAGGAAAGAAGTTGGAATCACTTTCTTTTGTTAGACACAATATAAATGACAAGTAACAAGGAACGAAGCCAATAAAAGTTTAGGGGATGTTATTAGTATTAATTATAATTAAAATGTTAAGGAAGAAAAGTGGACGGAAAGATAACTCGCCACCGGCAAGGACCGAACCTGCGACCTTCGAATAACGTGTCCGACGACAGAAGTAGGACGAATTTCATTCGAAAGAAGTCATCTACTGTAATGGATAGAGATAGGGATACAAGAGAAAACAGTTTTCATGCCATCATTGTGAAAAAGCACGCCGGTTCATCCACTTCGAATGTTGAGAGTGCAATGTCACCTCTGCTTTTGACTGTAACTACGTAGGTACACCTACCGACGTAAACATACAAGACAGGAAGTACACTTCCAAAAAATCCTAATTTCAGCTTAGCCTTAAACCACAGAAAAATAAGTGAACTTTTCAACCCGTCCCGGTTTTAGTGACCAACTAATAGATATATCACCTGCCGCATGTGACTTAGTTATTATGACGTTGCTTATGGGCTTCCTGTGTCTCTACTTTTACAACCCTAACTGTCCAGCTCCTCCATCCAATTCTCCACTGTCGGTTAGCATACTAGTTATTATGAACTCGTTGATGTTTCCACCTTACCCCTTCTACTACGTCTCTTCTTCCTAAAAATGCCTCTGATAAATCGGAAGTAGAAATTCACATTTGTGTTGGAGCCTGTGTCGCTTTTTTTTTGCGGGTGTGCATAATAATTCATAACCCAGAAATATGACTTTTGTGTAGGCGTCAACCACGGTATGTCATCGGTGCATTTGTGGTAAGAGAATACGTTTCGGCGAATAGTTGTTTTGTGGAGATTCAGCGACGCAGTAGGCGCACTAGAAGACTGATAATTGGTCTTTGTCATTTTCAGGGTGTGAGCGGCAACACTGTTTACTCTGTTCCGACATTGGACCTGTCATCGGCTGATGAGAATTCTGGAGGCGCAACGCTACCGCCCGTGCGAGAAGTGCCCAGGCACAGAATCCGCTTCATTGAAAAACTCGGCGAGGGGCAGTTCGGAGAGGTGTGTTTTCTAAGGTTGCCTTCAGACGGGTCAAACATATATTCACAGGGATGTTTCTGAAGACAATTTGGTGACTATTTTCAAAGCTGTTGAGGTCTACATGCCTTCATTGCCATTTTGATGAAATAGTAATAATGAAGTTTTCACTTGTGAGCGGGAATATACTAATTTTGAAACGCATGTCATGTTATGTTTTATAGTATTGTAATTGCAGTACTAAGTCGTGCATCTTCGTTAAGCCATGCTACAAAAAAGTAAGTTTCATCTGTCAGACCTTTAACAGTATACAAGCAAATATATTGAACAGGAGTAGAGGCGTATTCTACCTGTGGTACTGTAGACCCCAGAATTCTGATACCTTCTTCGTTTCATAGGGGTGATATCCCCCATGCGTTTCACGAAGCATGCGTATGTAGCATGCGTATCAAACGCTGATGCGTAGCAATTCTGCAGAGATATGGTTTTATGTGCGGTACCGCTTTCTGTGAATGTTACAATATGCCACTGACGCGAGGTTTAAAGAAACACTGCGAAACATGAAGGGCCGGGTGTTTGCACGCAGGTGCACCTGTGCGAGGCCGAAGGCATTCCCGAGCTCGTGGATGTACCGGTCAGTTTTGGTACCAAGACGCTGGTCGCGGTGAAGACGCTACGCAAGAACGCCACCGAACACGCGCGCGCCGACTTCTTGAAGGAGGTGAAAATATTGTCCAGGCTTCGCGACCCCAACATCGTGCACGTGTTGGGCGTGTGCACAAGAGATGAACCCCTCACCATGGTGGTCGAGTACATGGAAAACGGAGACCTGCACCAGTTCCTGCAGCACCACCTGCCCGACACATTTGCGCCACCCATTGCCAACAATGTGCTCAGGTGCAGTGGCGCTCGTCATTCGTTAGCACAAACCACGTCACCTAACTTATGCTAGATAGGTTCCACGGAAGCCTAATTCTTATGTGGCAAAAAAAATCAAGTTGATTTGGTTAGTTTGCAACGTGCACGACTGTTCTAATGCAGTCAATGCTCGTGTGCAGGAATATTGACACAAGATAAAAAATTGCATATAGTTACCCTCTTCCGCGGTTTAGTGTTGGGCAGGGATGTGGGGTCGAGCGTGTATTTACTGCCGCGCACACCCTATACTTCGCATGAGTCGTTCACCTGATATATTTCACAGCTGCAGGGTAGCCAAGAGTATTCGACATTATATGTCTTTTCACGGTGAAGTGGAGAATGCTAAAGGCCCGTTTACTTGGATTTAGGTGCAGGTTAAAGAACACCAAGAGGTCAAAGTTTTTGGAATTTCCCACTATGGCATTTCTCATAATTGTGTCGTGGTTTTGGGATCGTAAACCCGTTCGATCATTGATAAATTATTAGATGCAAAGCAGCTCATTGACTAGCCTGTGTAACGCTGTCGCTCCGTCCGCACCACTACCCTCGCCGCAGGTGTTGGAGTGGTACCAAGTTACTCACGCCCTCCTAGCAGTGCGCGTGCGCGGTGACGTCGCTCTCCCTCGCTTGCCGCGTGCTCGCCGCAAGTTAGCTGTTTCTTGCCTCACCCTCTCCATCGTTCACAACGCTTGAGCCCACTCTTCACGTGGACATGATCTCACCCGCACCACCTCTCTCCATCTGTCGGCGAGAAGGAGCCGCGAGCCGGCGGGTACGCACGCTGCGCACGCCTCGAGAATCTCCCGGCGCCGACAATTGGACAACGCAGCGCTGCTTGCCGCGCGATCGCGCCGACTCGCGGGATGCCATCGCGGCATGCTTCCTGCTAGTGCGCGTGTACCTTTTCCGGCTGTCGCCGGCGTTGCCAGGGTTAGGGAAGCCGATCAAGTTCGCGAATGGCGACGCCAACACCAACGAGGCGCGAGCCAGGGAAGCCAAACGCAAGCGTCAGCAGTGGAAGACCCGTCACACCGACAAATGCGAGTCAAGAACACTGATCGCGTTCGAGAATACAGACGGCGTGCGGGTAACACCGACTAGACGCGAGTCAAGAAAGCCGAGCGCAAGCGTATTCAACACGTCCCTCTTCCCGTGTCTTTGCGTTTCAAACAAACGTTTACTCGAGTAAACGCTACACCGAGTTTTGCTTCAAACCGTTCTTCCAGCCCCCGTGTTGATGCTCGTTTAAACCAGGTCAACGCCGTGCGCATCGCTCCTGCTTCACACCCTATCAGGATTCCCTTCGGGAAGATGGTCCATCGTTTTTATGGTACTCTCCTTTGAAAGTACTGAGTGAGATATGTTCTGCTTAGCTTCAGTGAACTGACTGAACCTTTGTATTCGACAATGCATTACCGAATATCTTAGATGATCCAAAATAGCCTCGGTGCAGCTTGAAATCATTGTGCTCGATAATTATGAATACATTTGGGTACACATAATAATCAGCAACGCTGCAAGACACAGAGATAAATACACTTGTACAGTGATGAGCCGCGTATAATGAATTTAATAATTCACTTAAAAGGGCAAATTCTCTGCATGAAAAGGGCAAGCAAGTACTCTTTGTCCACTTTGTTTACCGCACCTTCGTTGGGCAAGGAATCGCGCATTCACACAAGCGGTACCACTCACATTGTCGGATAGATTAATACAAGGCGATGAAAAAGTTCGTCCTATAAGATGACCTACCGGTATTGTTCGCCTCTTTTCTTGTCCGTATAACTGACCGGTTAATATGCTGTAGTTGCTCCTTGGGCCTGTGGTTTATTGTAAAAAATTCTTAGGTGTGTTGATGCTCCCATCGCTTTTATCAGACTTCGGGACTTTTTTTCTTTCTCACAGCTACGGAAGCCTCATCTACATGGCGACACAGATAGCTTCAGGAATGAAGTACTTGGAGTCACTCAACTTTGTACATCGGGACCTGGCAACGCGCAACTGTCTGGTCGGCAACGCTTTCACTATAAAGATAGCCGATTTCGGCATGAGTCGGCAGCTGTACGCCTGTGACTACTACCGTATTGAAGGCCGTGCCATGCTGCCCATCCGATGGATGGCCTGGGAAAGTGTACTGATGGTTCGTACTGCAGTTTGATTTTACTGCGATAGCAATTATACCGACAGTCTCGGCTGGTTTTTACCGTTGCCAACGCTGCCGTCATACACCGTAAATGCATACATACCTATATATAGGAAAACTCAAGAAAGAAAAAGAGTCTCCCACGCTCGGCAACCAGCTCGTCGCGATGCGCCAATGTGTGCTTATCTCCTAGGCGTACTTTGCCCCACACATGGGGGCGGGCGGGGGAGTTATGTGCTCGTGCGCTCGTGCTTATCTTTCCGTGAGGAGAATCGCTTATCTCCCACGTACTTTGCCCCACACATGGGGGCGGGCGGGGGAGTTATGTGCTCCTGCGCTTGTGCTTATCTTTCGGTGAGGAGAATCGTGTGCTTTGGCTTTTTACCGGAATGATTGCATTAGTTGCCTGGGCCACAAAGGTCAACTTCGCCTGCTGGGCAGGCCCCGTTTGCGAAAAGAGCGTGGTTTTCAAACACAGCGAAGTAACAATTGAGACACCCGTTAGTTCGCCCTCATATTTGTACCTGTGATTACGTTTTGTGCGTCGTTTTGGTTTAAACAGCACTTAAAGTGTCGAGTTCTAAACGTTGTTAGTTAGCGTTTGCCCTGTGTGGATTGTTTTCGTGCGCCATTTGTGCGTGAGCAGCGCGCTGCACGTTTCGATTTGCTGGCTGTTTCAGCGTTACGTTCCGAGTTAGTGCGATCCCATTCATAGCTTCAGCCTTGCGGCTAAACTCTGACTTTTGTTATTAATAAGTAGGATTTGGGCAGTGGGATAAGTGGTGTTTAGTATGGAAACTGCCGTCGTGGGCTTGGCATCCCTTGATGTTAGATAAGTTAATGACTTTAGAATAATTCCCGATAATACGTTTCTATTTTTTATTCACTTTCTTAGGCCTGTGGAAGAATAGGGTCTAAAGTAGCGATTTGAAGCGCAATGCCTAGGGTCGAGGTCTCGCAGTAGTTCTGAGTGAACTTGGCTCCTCTCCCTCTGTGTTTCAGAGGCTCATTGCGCTTGTGTAGAAGACTGTTCTTTTGACGTTTATAAGCATATCAGTCAACTTTTCGCCTTTTGTAGTCAGTGCTTTTGGCATTGCAGTATGTATAGCCTTTGGGTTGGTTACTCAGAATAATGACTTTCTTAATTGAAGAGTCTCAGTTGAGCCATGGTATTTGGCCAGTTGTCTTTGATACCTCTGCAATAAAATCTCCTTTATATACGCAGGGCACCTTCACGACCAAGAGCGACGTTTGGGCATTCGCCGTCACCCTGTGGGAAATTCTGACATTTGCACGCCAGCAGCCTTTCGCCTCCCTGAGCGATGAGCAGGTCATCGAGAATGTGAGCCACTTCTACCACAACGACGGCCTGCAGACGCACCTGCCGCAGCCGCCGAATTGCCCTCGTGAGATATACGACCTGATGCGCGAGTGCTGGCAGCGCAACGACTCGGAGAGGCCAAACTTTAGGGAAATCCACCTCTTCCTCCAGCGGAAGAATCTCGGATACACCCCAGAGTCGTGAGCGGCCGCACGCCGAGCTGGCCTCCCCTCGTCGCGCGCCGCTGGCACCAACACTGTGTGACAGCGCCAACGAGCCACCCCAAGAAACCCTCCCTTTGTGGTCCATCTGTCTCCGATATCCTGCCGCAGAGATCGCGTTTCCCGCGAGCAAGCGCCATCTTCGTCGTGATTGTGTGAGGTTGCAAATGTGTACTTTCTCGCGAGACACCGCGCGCTGATCACGCTGGCACGAACCGAAGAACCAAAACCACGAAGCAGATTTGGCACACGAAACATATGTCGCTAAGCAAGTTTCCATACTGCCAGATCCCTTCGGACATTTGTCACTCGTGGTTGGAGAGAGCTGCCGTGCTCGTGGACTTCATTGAGTTAGGCAAAGTCAAGTTTTCTAGCTGCCGAGGAAAGAACGATTTAGGCTTTCCACCGTAAGCTCGCAAGAACTTCCGTTCTCTGCAGGGGTCAGAATAACTTGCTTCACGCAAGATAATAAATGCCAGCGCACCATGATTCATTCAAGGCAAGTGCATTCTGGTGAACTTTCTGTGTGAATACTCGAAAAAGGAGAAAAAGGAATAGCACCGCCTCGCCATTTTGGAACTGGACGCTGCGCCTGCACTGAACCATAGGCAACTTGATGGCAGTATGTTGACACGAAGCCCCTCGTCGCTTCCCTCTTTGTGCCATGAGACAATTCCCCTGCCTCCCCCCCCCCCTTGTCATTGTACTGGGCACGTGGACTGCTTACTTTCCTTTGTACATATGACCAACCAAAGTATAACAATGCTTACATGAAGCACTCGAGAACAGGACGCTTATGCGTCATATAAATACACTCTGCCCAGGCTGTAATATTTTAGTGGATTTTTGATGTGCACGTACTTATAGATACACCATGCTTTTGTGTTATTGGTAAACACTTCGTCAAGTGCAAACTAGTGTCACTGAAAACTAGTTCCTTTATTCTGCAATGGAACTGTGTCAGTTGCCACACACATTTAGCTTGGACGGCATCTTGATGAAACACATTGTCGATGTTTGATCAAGGCACGATGCATGTTAAAAATGAAACTGTCTTTATCCAGTAATCTGCTTGTCTTGTTATTCTCTTGTACCTATGTCTGTGAAGAAACATGGTAAAGGTTGAGCAACTCATTGTCATGCCATTTGTTGGCCCTCTTTGGACAACTATTGAGGTCACATTTAAGTTTTTTGTCCATCTTCCATGTGATAACGTGCTCAACCCTTGTATAGATTTTCCTTGAAACCATGGCAATATTTCAGACTTGGCTAATCTGCCCTTATTTATATACATGATTGTGAAAGTCTGATGGTATATGCAGTGAGGACAAAGGACCTCATGTTTGAAAAAAAAACAGAGCAATGCAGAACTAATGAGGCTGCAAGTTTTATGAAAATATAAAAAGTGTCGTAGGTTCACTGATAGAGAATACCATTTCTGATAAAACTGTGTGCAAGAAAGCAATACGAGTTTTAATTATCCTTCGTAGCATTTCTCAAATTCCAACTTATTGATGATATGATGGTAATTATGATGATCAAAGGAATTATTTCTGCAGACTGAAGGCAGCAAAGTTATGCTGAAAACAATAAAGCTTAAATATTCATTTAGTGGAAACTAGCTTGATTTTTTCGGCCTACCTCCATTCTTATAAAAATAAAAAAATGAAATTGAAATTCAAATCAAGTAAACCATTCTTAGTGTATTTCAGTAAATGTTGACCATTTCACAACAAGATTTACAATAACTGGTAATATCATTTTATTGAGTTTGACCCAAGTCATATGAAATGTGTTTTCTTGCCCATTTTCGTGCCTACAATACCATTCTTCACGAATGCACTTGTCTGTGGTTTGAATTAAAATTCAAGCACAAGAAAGAGGGAAAAAAAAGCTATGCCTCTATGGGCTCCATGCGCATTGGCCAGTCTTGATCTTACTGAGAACACTATTGCATGACTACAATTTATCTCATGCAGTGTACTCTCAATCATTAAGGTGTCATCATAGTGTTCCAACGGTGCTGTCATGCTCCCTTGTAGAATTTGCTAGTTGTTTCTTTATGGCATCTTGATAACATGTTTCCAGATTTCGAAATCATGGCAGAGACTACCTCGTCTCAGACACTAGCGCCCAGTCATTTGCCTGAAGTTCCTACGGACACAGTGCACAAAAGGCTTCTCCGTACTGTTTTCTCTCTTTTGTGTGTGTCTACTCTGTATCTATGCTGGTGATTCTCACAGTGACAAAAATGGTTAAAAACAGTAGTCGGAGAAAGAAGCACACTGTGATAAGCAGTTTTTTTTTTAACTTATATTTCGACCTCAACTAGGAAGACTGAATAAATAAGGCCCTCTTTAGAATAGCCACTTTATTTATTGATTTGGTGTAATGACAGTATTCATGACAACAGAAAATAAATAATGTGACTAAGGGCATAAATTTTGGATATAGCTGCTTTTGATGGCATTAGAAATAAGAATGTAGCTCTTTGTAACTGCTACTGATGTACACATGATGGGTCGAACGACCATGGGTGTTGGAAGTAGTTGGCTCACTTATCATATGTTGCACGATATGCGCAGTGGCAAAAATTTAGGTGATTTTACAGGTTGTAAGTTTTGAGAATTAACACCAAAACTCACTCAAATTATCTGTCAACTGGTTTAATTATGGCATTTTTTTGTTCAAGTGGCATTTATGTGCTGGTACACAGGCTTTTCTCTGGAGATTACATTGGTCGATTGGATCACTGTAAATATAATAATAAGTTTAAATTTATTGCGAGTCCATGAACATATTTTGCTACTATGTGTTCTCTTCGTGTGCTTGCCAGTACATGTCATGAAATGTCAGCACGTTCTTTATTCAGTTAGCAACCGAACACTCAGAAAAGAGCCAACTACTTGCTTTTTACTTGCTAAATATGTAATGATTACTTAGTTGCTGTGCCAAACTTTTCGTAGCCCTAAAAAAACGTTCCTGAAAGCATCACCAGGAAAAATACAGCAAATGCGAGTAGATCATGAAAGCCACTGTAGCTTCTTTCTCTAATTTTAACGTAGTTATAGCTATTAGTTTTTCTCGCCTAAAGCAGACCACAATGTCGCGTCAGTCTACAGGGAGTACGACAGCCACTGTCTTGTCACTAGGTTTTTTTTTTCTGTTTGATATGCATTTGCGCCCCAGTATTCTTTCTTTAGTTTTCTTTGTTTTGTACACAGAGCAAGAGACGGCGACTGTTTCCAAAGCGCGTCCGCGATATGTGGTGCCCATGTATGTGTGTGTGTGTGTGCGCGTTCGCATGTGATGTGTACGTGAGTGCGAAGACGAAGGCACAGGACTGCCGACGACGCCCAGCTGTACTGCACCTTGGTTCCCCTGGTCACCGTTTGTGCACTCTTCTCGTCGCAAGCTCTTAGGAAAATAATGGACAATCTACTGCCAATAAAGCACACGGATGAAATAAAAGAGAAGCCCTACAGCACAGAGCCTTGCACCTCCTCCTGTTTTGATTTTTTTTGCTTTTTTGTTTCACTTGTGTTTATTGTTTACCCGGATTGCTATGCACATGCTGCATGGAATCTAAAGAGATAGACGGTTAAAAAAACAGAATGAAATAATTATAAATTATTCTTCTCAGTTGGTGGTATACCTGTCATCCACACCGGTAAAATATAGCCAACCATTCCAAGGAGGCAGAGTACAGAATGAGCAGGCCAGAGAACAGGAAGTTTTTCGGGGGCGGGGGAAAAAAGGGGCACTTGCTGAAGGCCTTGACTATTTGAGAAAACACTTATTTTTAATTATTTTTAGTTAAACACCCTCCTTCATCAAAACATTGGGGGGAAGAGAAGGGGGCTGGCTTCATGCCGCTGGCTACGGGCCTGGAGTGACGTGTGCCTATGCAAATGTATCCGATGGTTGCATTTCTTTTGCTTCATATTCTTCACATTGCATGTAGTACACAGTGCGGAATGACATCACGGAGACGAGTAGTTCATGGTTCACGTGGATGACAAAGGCTGGCACTTGTGGTTTGTAAAATGGAAAGGTGTGTCCAGCCTACGCCATTATTACGTTTATAATGCTGGTACTAAACATCTAGTATATTATTTGCGGACTTTATTGGGCGCGAGGACATACCGTGGCGCCACCATGCGGAGGACCCCCTGTGACGTACGTGGTTGGATTGCTGCGCCACTCTCTCGCGTGCAGCTCCCAGCCACTTCCGCGTCAGCTCTTTTTATCATTATTTTCTTGTACTTCACTTAACAAAATCAGTAAAACACTCCTGCAGCTTCTTCCCTGACTCTACGAGGTTCTAAATAACTACCTTGGAAAAGTTTTACGCTTCTCATAATGCCTGACTGCTGGCATCGTCTGCTATGGCCGCCTGAATGATAACCACGGGGGCCGAGGGCGCTGCCTCTGTAAAAGGTGGCAACTCATTCCGTGTCGGATTGAAGTATCAAATGGGTATTAAAGGTAAAGAAACTTATTTTTGCTACAAGAAATGCGCCCAGCCATGCTACTTCATTAGTTGTAAATTTGCGTCTAAAGAGAGGCCGTAGATAACATGACGAGCATGCGCAAAATACATTTTTTTTCAAGCATACATAGCCTGACGAAGCACAGCGCATGTGGATTCCGTGCCTTGTGTGAAGTAACACAGCATTCCTACATCCGCATGCAGCCACAACCTTTGTGTGATCATTGCGGCCAAATATGAGAATCATCATGCACGTGCCTGCTTCATTCAGAGTTGTAACTTTTCTCTGTAGCACGATTCTAATGATTATTACGCAAAATTTTTATGGTGGTCACTAGTTACACATTCGAACGTCATTGAGCCACACATGGGTGAAAATTATGAATGATTGCTTCAGGTCTCGTGCTCCTATAAACGGGTAAATAATGATCGAAAATTCGGTCAGCCAGCCGTATCATTTTGTGCCCTTGAATGTGCATGCTGCGGGTTCTTGCGTACCGTGATATAAACGGCAATTTCATGTTTCAGTAAAATTGCCAATGTCATGTTTTTTTACAGCTTCATTCATAAGCTGTGTTATATTTCACGGCAGCTCTTAGAAGATGAATCCGTTCTCGAAGCTGACCACTTTTTCGCCTGTAGATCAAAACATCCTTGAGAGGAACTGACAGTGGTTATTGGCCCATTTACATACGTAATCTATAAGCAAAAATTTAAGCCTGTGAGCTGAAGTCGTGGACGGCAGGGGCGTTGGAAAATTTTTTTCCGGACGGGGAGCCCCTTTGAATAGAGTTGAGCCAAGGCAGGCATAGGTGGTAAACCATTGCTTTGTGTGCACATACAATGGGAATTTTCTTTTTTTTGGGGGGGGGGGGGGGGGGGGGGTGATAGGTTTGGTGTACCAGCCCCTGGCTACGCCACTGGCAGATGAAACCCCGTGTGCTACGGTACACACATCGGGGACGGACAACCAGGGAGGAGGAAGGTGGTGCAGATTGTAGTAAAGGTGATACAAGTAAGCTTTAGCAAAGACAGAAGCGGCACATGTATGATGTATAATAAAGAAGGCTTTGTAGAAGGCGCTGGCCGAACACGCAGAAGTAACTGACCTCAAAATAGACCGAAATAGTGTGAAAGTAGGGAAAATAAAGAGAAAAGAATCGAACTTCCGAGCTATCTTGACTCTCTGACAATTCAGACAACGGCGCACATTTTTAAATGTAATAACGGTAACTTGCTTCACATTTACACTCTTACGTCCTATTTTAAAGTATACATAATCGAACTGTTTGCACAGTCATATTTTATTATGAACGATGCGCCTGTACGGAAGCTTAAATGATCTGCTTTTATGCGAACAATCATGATCTGAGCTCATTTTAACTCCGTGGGCACGAAATAACCACAGCAAAGAAAGAAAGAGGTGGCAGTGGCAGAGCCAGGGGTCGTGACAGTGGCACCGCATTCGCAGCGAACTGTGTCACGCCACTGGTAACCTTTACTGCGACTTTTCACATAATGTACTTTGCAGAAGTCTTTGCCCCTTAAATCAGAGCAATACAACGCTGCTAAAAAATGAAAACACCGAGAATTCGCGATTAAAAACAACGTATCCAACCACCAGCTTTCCTTCGCCAGAGCGAGGCGAGATCACGTGATCTGACCCTGCACGTCACAGCGATTGCAGTGCTCGGGCCTCCAGTGGTGGGCCGCACGCCCTATACCTATCTGATGGCATGAATAATTTTAAGTGAACATTTTTTTAGTTGTGTGCTATGGTACACCAACGCTCAGAGCGAATATGAATCTGAACTAACGTGTCAGATATGGATCCGCCCCTCTAAACGTTTAGGGCGATGAAAGTCAGTGAAGATATCTACTGTCACTCAAAATAGTCTCTTGTCGTTCAGCACACTACGGGAAGAGCAGCCGGGTAAGCACACCCTAATGATCCAATTGTCTGTTTTGTGCACTAGTCTTTTTTTTGTTGTTCCCAAAAACTGTTACCAGTTCATTGAACTTGGTTGTTTGGTATATCGCAAATGCAGGAGAGATGACGAGACAGAGAGATATAGGAAACTATGCTGTCACTCTTCTTGTGAGAGTCTTAATTGCACCTGAATGTAATATATACGTGGATGTGCTAATTAGCGTTTCGTTTCACCGTGAATAACAGAAGCCTGTAAATGTTGAAGTGAAGTTACACCGAAGAAACAGAAATGCTGGGTTTTCTTTGAAAAAGTGTGCGCGTAATGAGTGAAAAGTAAACTAATCTATCTGTTAGCTCAGTGTATATGACATTGTGCTCCAAATCAGGGGATTTTACTATCTGATCCCTGTCGCAGTGAGTGGTATTTGAGTGGAGCACAGTGCTAGAATATTCCCGAGGTCATACGCTAAAGATCTCTAGGTGGGCATATATATTCTGAAGCTTTCCACTGCATATGCTATACAGGATTAGCTAGTATGAAATCTTGGTGCTTGAAGCTTCATTTGGGAATTCACACCACCAAACTTAAAATAATGCACAGCTTGGTTAAAAGTGCCCTCCTCCTAAGATGATCTGATTTGGCCTGAATGTTATTTTTTTATTCATGAAAGTCTTCAGATGTGTATATTTATCCACATTTTAGTCTAACAACGTATTGTAGGCCAATATTGTAGGCCGCCTTATATTATGGATTGGCAATATGGGAACGTATTGAGCCGCTTGCAGGCCCCGCCGTGGTAGTCTAGTGGCTAAGGTACTCGGCTGCTGACCCGCAGGTCACGGAATCGAATCCCGGCTGCTGCGGTGTCACAGAGGTCCCGTTAATTCGGGAGGCGATCGCCGGGCTAGTTCCAAGGGCCGAGGTATCGGCCCCCGAACCGCACCACGAAAGCGTGGACAATTTAGAAGTGGTCCTTTTTGGCGCGCCAGCGGACGCCGGCTGTGGCCCAAAGAACAAGTCAGAGCCGAGAGTTGATAACGAACAAAATTATATTCTCAATAATGGCAGATCAAAAACCATACACAAGTATGCACACTCCACAATAGTTGAATACAATATGTCGCCAATCAAACAGCGTACTACACAACACAATCAGCCTCACTCTTAACAACGGATACAGACAACAATACGCACTACAATGCAGTCGCATGCATTGAACAACCAAGACACTTAAAGACTAAAAAGATAGCAAACCTATTCAGTCCAAAGTTCTTGGAACAAGAGTCTGGATGAAACTCTTCCGAGAATCACTCACTCAAAGTCCAGCGTTGTTGTCGTTCCGCAGCCCCCGAAGTTTCTCTTCCAGTAAACCTCGCCGAAGTTTCTCTTCCAGGAAACCTCACGTCTTCAATAGTCCACTCTCCAAGCTTCAAACTTCTTCGCCAGAAACACGTCGGCTTCACACACGCAGCTGTTGCCACGCGTCTTCGCTCGATAGCGGTAAACACACACTCTTGCCTGTAGCTCGAGTCGTCACCCCTCAGGTGGAAATCATCTTTCTTCTCCTGCTTTGTCTCCCCGGACAAAACCTTCGCCGACTACACGGCGGAATCCCTACGCGCTCTGGCACTAACTTCCGCCTTCTCCTCCCAAGTTTCTCTTCCAGGAAACCTCACGTCTTCTCCTGCTTTGTCCCTATGGACAAAACCTTCGCCGACTACACGGCGGGATACCCTACGCGCTCTGGCGCTAACTTCCGTCTTCTCCTGATCTTTCGTCTCGACTGCTCGATTAAATACCCTCCGCGCGAGGTTCCAGAGAGTTCTCGTCATTTCGTCGGCGCGATACGCAGCGAAGGCTGGGGAGAAGGCGAGAGGGCTCGAAAACCGTCCGCGATGGATGACTCAACCCGGCCTCACTACGCCCCTTTCCATCTAGAAAGTTCGAGTGCTTGCTCGGCCGCCGTTGTCGGGTGAGGAGATTCGTCGGCAAATCTACGCTTCCGAGGGAGAGAGTCGCACCCGGGGAGTCTGGATGTTTGTTTTCTTTTTTTTTTATCGTTGACCTCGTGGCGCCACTCC